CTTCTCTTGTGCATGGTGGAATAGTGGGTGGTCTTCTTGGTATGAAAGAATAGTAGGAGGTATTCCAGTGTGTAGGAGAGATGGAGTCTTCCTTGTGCATTGTGGGTGGAAGAGTTCTTGTAGTATGTATGAATGGTTGCCCCCTTGTAGAGGTGAATAAGATGCCTCATTTCTTCATCTTTGTTTATCTTTTATAGGTAGAAGGGTTATTAGACGTTAGGTAGGATTTTATTAATTAGTAGTTAATAGGTTTAATAATAGCTAATTTGTGGGTAATTAATAATTTGTCCAAGGAATGGGAGGGTGGCAACGGCTAGTCAAGGGGTAGCTTTTAAGGTGATTTAATAGGGCATTTACGGATAGATAATTGAGATGGGAGTTGGGTTTGCTTTTAGAAAACGGAAGGGCAATAATGGGCTATTTATGAGATTTAGTGATAGGTTAATTGAGGGGGTTTTGGATAATAGGAAATAAATAGGTATTAAGTAGGAGGTTAGGATGGGGTTTAGTAGGTCTCTTAAATGTCAACGGCTCCTTTAGGCCGACCTCCTACTTGTGCTGACCATACGCTCGCGCTGACTCTCGAGTCGAGCCGACTCCTCAGTTTGGCCCATATCTATTCTTGGGCTTGCTCCATTTTCTTCTTTAGTTTCTCTTCTTCTTTTGGGCTTGATCTCTTTTCTTCTTGGGCTTGATCCCTTTTCTTCTTGGGCCCTGAGCCCACAGGGTTCACACCCCATCAACTAGTCCCTCACTTTTCTATGTCTTGCACTCAGCAGGGCATGGGAAAGTATATTGTCTCGCCTCAAAATTCCCTTTATTAGCCGCCTCGATTTTTGCCGACTCTTTATTCAAGATTCCAAACGACTCCATCCTCATGACTTCTCTTCGTTTGCCATATAACCGACTGCTTCAGTGGATGTGACCCTCTGGCTTCGAGCCTATTTTTTCTTTAACCGTCGAAGTGAATCTCGGCTGTAACTTTTTCTTTCTCTAATAAACATCTAAGGGTTCGGACCCTCGATTTCTTCTTTATTCGCCGAGTCCCTCAGTTGAGGCGACTCTTCGGTGGTAGCTTCTTTTCCATCTAAGAAATGTCTAAGGGACAGTGCCCCGGTTTCTTTTCTTTTTCTTGCCGAGTTCCTCAGTCGAGGCGACCCCTGTAGGTTTTTTCTATCTTAGAAACAATTTAGGGTCAGTGCCCCGTCGTTTCTCACGTTTCTTGCCGAGTCCCTCAGTCGAGGCAACCCCTGTAGGCTTTTCTTATGAAACGTCTAAGGGACAGTGCCCTTTGTTTCATTCTCTTTTCTCGCCGAGTCCCTCAGTCGAGGCGACCCCTTAGGCTTTTTGTATCTCAGAAACAGTTTAGGGTCAGTGCCCCGTCGTTTCTCTCTTTTCTTGCCGAGTCCCTCAGTCGAGGCGACTCCTTAAGCTTTTTCTATCTCAGAAACGTCTTGGGGTCGGAACCCTAGTTTCTGTCTCTTTCTTTCCCGAGTCTCTCAATCGAGGAGACTCCTGTCAGCTTTTTCTCGGAAACGTCTAAGGGCTGAGCCCTTGTTTCCTTCTCTTTTCTCGCCAAGTCCCTTAGTCGAGGCGACCCTTTAGGCTTTTTCTATCTCAGAAATGTCTTGGTGTCAGAACCCTATTTTCTCTCTCTTTCTTTGCCTAGTCTCTCAATCGAGGCGACTCCTGTCGGCTTTTTCTCGGAAACGTCTAAGGGTCTGAGCCCTTGTTTCCTTTTCTTTTCTCTCCGAGTCCCTCAGTCGAGGCAACCCTTTAGGTTTTTTCTATCTCAGAAATGTCTTGGGGTCAGAAACCTAGTTTCTCTCTCTTTCTTTGCCGAGTCTCTCAATCGAGGCGACTCCTGTCGGCTTTTTCTCGGAAACGTCTAAGCCATTTTTTCCTTTTCATTTCTCGCCGAGTCCCTCAATCGAGGCGACCCTTTAGGATTTTTCTATCTCTGAAACGTCTTGGTTCGGAACCCTAGTTTCTCTCTCTTTCTTTGCCGAGTCTCTCAATCGAAGCGACTCCTGTCGGCTTTTTCTCAAAAACGTCTTGGTGTCGGAACCCTAGTTTCTCTCTCTTTCTTTGCCGAGTCTCTCAATCGAGGCGGCCCTTTAGGATTTTTCTATCTCCGAAACGTCTTGGGGTCGGAACCCTAGTTTCTCTCTCTTTAATTTCTTTGCCGAGTCTCTCAATCGAGGCGACTCCTGTCGGCTTTTTCTCGGAAATGTCTTGGGGTCGGAACCCTAGTTTCTCTCTCTTTCTTTGCCGAGTCTCTCAGTCGAGGCGACTCCTGTCGGCTTTTTCTCGGAAACGTCTAAGGGTCTGAGCCCTTGTTTCCTTTTCTTTTCTCTCGCCGAGTCCTGGCTATGTTTTTTCTTTTCCTAGTAAACTTCTTGGAGTCTTGGTTCTTTTACTAGCTCAAGTGACTCTCGGTTGTAGCTTTACTTTTTCTTCCCTTCATATAGCCACTTGTAGATGAGAAATTCCATGAGCAACCTTTTGGAACGCATTTTCTTGCCACGCCCAGAATATATCCAAGTCTATTGTGCGGCACATGTGACTGGAAATTAAGCTCGCCATATGTAGAAAAATCCATCCTCCAAACCCGCATAAGAGATCCCGGTCAGATTCTTTCAGATTCTTGGAGTCGGCGTTTAGAGCTGATTGGGAACAAGTGAGTGAGCTCCCCTTTAGTATGCCTTATATTATTTTCTTTCACTAAATTTTGAATTTCTTCTCGTTTGACTGAATCCCTCAGTCTTTGTAGCATATTAACAAAATTGTTCCAAGTTGATTACACTGCCATGGTAAATCTATTCTGATTTCGAAGCATACGGCCCAACCGATTATTTGTGCAAGATACACCCATTATGGACTTTAACGGCCCGTCTGTACAAATGATCCAAGCATTTTCCTACAGCCCAGCTTATTTCCTCATTGTCAAATCTTTCCAGCCAATTTATGCATTGCACCCCCTTCTGCTAGAATCAAAGCCGTGAAGCCCTGAGACCACCAAGCTACGTGGATCATCCCCTACTCAACCATTCCATTAGCCATTCTCTCTTTTCCTTAAACACATGCCACATACTGCTATTAGAGACCAAAATGTTTCCATGTGTAGATTGGCCTTGAAATAGAAAAACTGTCCTACCCCAAACATTTATATGCTTTCCCAGACATTGCCACATGTTTAAGTATAGTAAGTGTAGACTAAGGATCTTCACTATATGTGTTTTTTTTTTGAACGGTAAATTACCTCGGAGCTTGTCTCCCTTCATTTCTTTCCAACTTCATCCACGTAACTGGGTATACGTGAGCTTTCTTTAACAAATGCCGAGACCGACTCCACAACCGACTAATCACCTTTCACGCTCGCCGGCGCTGCCACGTTCATGCTCAACCGCTATCGTACTATTCTTCTCCATTTTTCCACGTGCAGATATCATGCCCACTCGCCCGTCTTTCAAGAGGTTTTGCTCGACTCCGGGGTCCGTAAGTGACTAAGTTAATAGAAGCTTGATTGGATGATCTGATGAATGTTCTGGAGTGGTAAGTGAACACCTGATGCGCATATAGGAGTCTTCCGAATATATTTGCATATTGGGTCGGCACCTATTTTCCTGCCGTGGCCGACTGCCCTCTTTTGTGTATCGGAATTGCATGTATATATATATATATATATATATATATTTTAATCATTCATTATACGGAGTGAGGAAAACCGGTTATTCAGCGTTCCACCATCACTCCTCTTCTACAAGCAGACTCGATAGAGTGGTTTAGGCAGAGGTCGCCAGAATTGATGACCTTGGTCACGAGCTCGGCCATCAACTGCGGGTTCGGCAGAACAACAATGAACGCTCATGTATATAGCAAATACTTACGTGGACTCGGTGGAACAGCCATGAACGCTTCATAAGCGTGAAAAAGAGCGAGGTGGTCACTGAAGTCAGGAGCAGAGAACTGTGTTTTTGCCGATTCCGCAACGTCTTTCTTCTCAAATGGCATCAACAATGGATCTCGTAAACTTAGGCCAACAACAATAGTTATTACAGGATCAAGGCAGTTAAAAACTGAACCTCCAAGTTTGTAACCTCTTAATTCGCAGACATAAAGACTGAAGTGATGTTCTCAAAAGCTCTGGGTTTTGATATTTCGAATGTCAACCGTGCATTCTTTACGCCGAGTGCTTCCCGCCGATTGCACAACCGGGATGAGCGAGCTTTGCCTTCAACTAGTGGTTTTGTGATTTAAGGCCAACAAGAAGTCGGCCATTTTTAGAGTCGATCTTTGGTGTCGGAGCCGGTGACATTATACAGAGGCTGCTTATTGAATGATAACACGCAGCAGCAAGAAAAGAAATAAAAAAGGCAGTTAGATGACATTAACAGCTAAGGGCATTACTGTAAATTCCATAGAGAGTCTGTTACAACCGTTCTTCCCGCTCTCTTTCTTCATTTATATCCCTCTGTATGAACTCGGTTATGAATGAATTCACTTTCCCAAAACTTCTCTCCAGAATCTCTTTTACCTCTCTGTTTACATTCAATCCCCAACCTTCCTCATGGTATCAGATCCGCGGCACTCAAGCTACGCCGCGGCGGTGATCGACGCTGGATAGACTAGCCTTACGACGACGACTCCAACGCAGACAACACCTCCAATCAATCCACAAACCAGTTCGTTTCCGCAGAGGAGCGCGAGCACCATCGCGGAGGATATTGAAAATCCTTTATTCCTGAATAACAATGGGAATCCTAATGCTGTTCTAGTCATCCCCCCCCCCCCTCACCGGTAGCGGCAACTACGGGACATGGAGCATCTCCATGCGAGTTGCTCTAGAGGTGAAGAACAAGTGGAACATCGTGAATGAAACTATCTCAGCACCAGATAGATCGCATCCTCAATACGCAGCGTGGAGGAGATGCAACCTCATGATCTGCTCTTGGATACTCAAATCCATCCATCCGACGATTGCTTAGAGTATTCTGTACATGGACGAAGCCTCAGAGGTTTGGAACGACTTGAAGAAACGGTTCTCACAACAGGATGCTCAAAGGATCTCATCCTTACAGACTGAAATCTGTGCTTTGAGACAGGGCAGTTTGATAGTAAATGACTATTATACAAAGTGTCGAATTCTCTGGGAGCAGATGAATGATCTACGGCCTCTTCCGATTTGTAGATGTGATCCTCGATGCTCTTGTGCTTTGCTTGACGACATAAAGAAGGAACGAGAAGTGGATCGAGTCATCTGGTTTCTTCAAGGCCTGAACGATGAATATAATTCATTGAAGTCTGGAGTTCTGGTTTTGGATCCACTCCCGGACATGCATAAAGTGTTCGTTATAGCCGAAAAATATGAGAGGCAGCTGAACATTACCAATCTCACTCTGAATAACGTAGAGTTCAATCATGCTAATGCGGTTCAAGCCAATCAGAACACTACAGAAGATGTTGTGGCAGCCGTGAACTATCATAACAGAAGAAATAATGGATCAAGCAGTGGAAACAAAGCCGCAAAGTGCACTTATTGTGGCATGACCGGACACACGGTGGAAAAATGCTATAAAAAGCACGGATATCCACCGGGATGGGTGCAAGGATTCAAATCCAAAGGGAAACAGCAGAGTGTGACAGCTACCGTGAGCAATGAAGCTGGATCTTCCACATCTGAGCAGCTTTAGAAGCTGATATCCCTTTTGCAAGCACAAATGGACAAAGCCAATCCCCTACCACAGCAGCAGTCACTCTGGTTCCTAAGCTCAATATGGATTCACCGCCTGAAGGCAAGTGTATTACTAATACTCACATTAATTCTATTTCTCTGCATTCGTATACATGGATTTTGGATTCGGGTGCAACTAATCATATAGTCTGCAATATGAAACTATTTGATACATATCATTCTGTTGAAGGAATTATGGTTAATTTGCCTGATGGAAAATAAGTGGCTGTTGAACATATAGGGGACATAAGGTTGAATGATGGCCCGTGGTTGAGAAATGCTTTGCACATTTCTTCTTTCAAGTTCAATATTATATCTGTTAGCAAGTTACTTCAAAATTCACCTTGTGAGCTAACCTTCAACTCTAATCAGTGCCTTCTCCGAGGGGACCATGGGAAGATCACTGGTTTTGCTAAGGAGGATAATGGACTGTACCTGCTGCTAGAGACTCCAGGAAGTCACATGAATAAATGTAGTCATTTTTCTATGCTTTGTACTGCTGATATTTGGCACCAACGACTTGGCCATTTCCCTGTTAATAAAATGACATTCCTGTTTTTCATACTAAGAGTTTAGCTTGTGATGTTTGTCATTATGCAAAACATAAGAGGTTGTCATTCCCATTAAGCAAAACTATGGCAGAAACTTGCTTTGAGCTAATCCATATTGACATTTGGGGTCCATTTGTGGTTCAATCTTTGGGAGGAGAAAGGTATTTTCTAACTATTGTTGATGATCACTCAAGATACACTTGGATTCATTTGATGAAGAATAAATCTGAAGCGAAGGGGCTGATAAAAGTGTTCCAGAAATTTGCTTACACACAATTTGGCTTACCTATAAAGATCATTCGCAGTGATAATGGTGTGGAGTTCAAAATGGAAGATTTCTTTGCCTCGAATGGTATAATTCACCAAACCTCATGTGTAAACACACCACAACAGAATGCGGTGGTGGAACGGAAGCATCAACATGTCTTAAGTGTTGCAAGGGCACTTCGTTTTCAGGCCAATCTCCCCTTGGAATTTTGGGGGCAGTGTGTTCTTCATGCAGCAATCCTAATCAACCGCCTTCCCTCACCGGTCATTGGTTGGTCAAGTCCTTACAAAAGGCTATATGGAAAGGATCCCGATCTCACTAATCTGAAAGTTTTCGGATGCTTATGCTATGCTTCGACTCTACCACATTCACGCCACAAGATGGCCACTCGGAGCAGAAAGTGCATATTCATAGGACTGCCTGCTAACATTAAAGGGCACTTGTTGTATGACACGAATGATGGCTCAACTTTCATATCCCGGGATGTGGTTTTTTATGAAACTCAATTTCCTTTTGCAGAAAAGGAATGTCATCCACCTGAGCTTATCTCCTCTCCTCATAGGCCATCCTTGCCAAATGTGTCTATATCTGAGCATGAAGAATTTTCCTTTCAAAGTCTAGATAATGATCAATCCAGATCAGTAGCTGAGCCAATGAGCACTAATACTCCTTTGACCACCAATCATTCAGTCGATTACAAATCTAGAATGGTAATTGAGCCTGCAGGTGGTGATAACACTTCACCCGTCAACCACTCAGTTGACATTCATGATTCTACTTCTGATAACAGTGGTGGTATGAACAATTCCTTTACTTGTTCTCCAATACAGCCAAGAAGATCAACCAGACAACGCCAAGTCTCAACCCGATTACAAGATTACTACTGTGACTCAATCATACAAAACAAGCCCACTTCTCATCCTCTTTCAAAGTTTATATCCTATAACAGTATTGATACTCCTCACAAAATTTTCTCTATGGCAGTTACTAACATTCATGAGCCAGGATCATATTCTCAAGCTATTAAACACAGCCATTGTAAAGAGGCAATGGACGCAGAAATAGAAGCCCTACAACAGAATAATACATGGGAATTGTGTGATCTTCCTGCTGGAAAAATTCCCATAGGATGTAAGTGGGTGTATAAAACAAAACTCAAAGCGGATGGGACTGTGGAGAGGTATAAAGCACAGTTGGTCGCAAAGGGCTATACGCAGCAGCTTGGGGTAGATTACATCGAGACATTCTCCCCAGTGGCAAGAATGACAACCATCCGCACTTTTCTGGGCATAGAAGTTTCTAAGAAATGGCACATTCACCAAATGGATATCAATAACGCCTTCCTTCACGGGGATTTGAGTGAAGAAGTCTATATGGTGCTCCCTCCTGGCTTCCAGAGTTCACAACTAGCAAGCGGCAACTGCTTGCTCACGCTTGGTTATTGCGGACCCAAGTTCCCAACTGCCCTTGGAATGAGTGGCTGTTGAAGCTTCATTCTCATCATCCGAATCATATCGGAGTCGGCCCGGTTGCTCATCCCAGAATGTTGCGGCTTTGAATTGAGTTTTTGGCGTACTGCTTCTATGCCGGAGGACATGTTGCCAACCTGACTGCGGACCCTAGCTTTTTAGCCATTTGCATATAGTATTAGTAGTCATAAAATAACTTCATGGCGCATCGGCTTCATAATCTCAGATTTTGAATCTCGGATCGCGATCAAGAATCAATTGGCGAATGCTCTTGGACTGAATAAACATGGTGATCGCGTCGGTTACTGAATGGTGGCGGTGTGTAAGGTGGCGACGTGACCAGGCTGGGAGTCTAGTTTGGCTTCAATATGTCGCTGGTTTTCCTTTGCTTTTGTTTGAGTCCGAGTCCGCCATTTTTGCAGAGAGAGAGCTTCTACTTTGCCCAGAATAAAGATGGAGCCGGTAGGCTCGGGTCTCTTGCTGGTGTACATTTATCATCGTCAAGCTTACTCGTGGAAACAGCTTCTTCAATGCCTCACAACTTCAATTCCATTTTTTACGTTTAGTTCCTATAATGCTGACTGCTTCCTGTTGATTTTGATTTTAATCGACCCGACTCCTCGTTTAACTCCGCGACATGCCGCACGATGGCCGAGTCCTTGACTGCTGAATCCTTCAGTCTGTTTGGATTTTGCTCTCTTGGAGTTGCACCAAATAAGATGCCAGAGATGGATTGTCTTCATTTTCCATGTCCGTTCTTGAGTCCGGTTGACGCCGTAGGCGGTGTTCGACAGTGCACCAAGCCTGGGTGAGTCGTCGACGCAGCCTACATAGAGATGAAGGAGTCGGTGAGTGTATCGATTATATCTGTCACCGAGATGGAACCATGGAGTGCATGGGAGCCGATTTAGGTAGTGGTCCCCGGCTGAGCACTACAAGTCGGGGAGAGAGAAATATCCGGCTCCTTGCCGGTGGCGTTTATCTTGCGGATGGCAGAAGTGCTACGTGACTCAATCTCTATTCTGGAGATGATTATTAAAAACTGTTTTTCTCAATTGGTACTTGCGTGTTGCTGGAGTTACTTACTGCCTTAGCACCATGAATTCTTTAAGCATCAATATGGCCCTCATTCGCTGCCACCTAAGCAAGACCCAAGCAAGCAGCTTCACATGCATTCCAATGGGTAGAATACGAATTTTTTGAGCTAAGTGTTTTTGCCTTTCTTCTTGTTTATCACAATTACAAGAAAATTGCAGATCTCTGACAGCGTAGAGAACCGTGATAATCATCAGCCATTTTCTTTGTAAGAAAGTTACGGAGATTCTGACTTCGTCGACTGTTTCGATCAATGCAGGCGTGGCCTCTTGTGTTGAAACATTCATCAATCTCTCTCCTTACTTATAACATGTTTATTAAGTTTTAATTATTACTAACTACCATATTTTGGTATTCATCGTTGGTAATAATATTATGTTTTGGGTCTATTTCAGTACTTAGACCATTTTTTATTCATGTTATAATTCACTTGGGTCATTGAGGTTTATGTGCCTAATTTGAATGATTAAGTGCTATAATTATTGTCTCGGCCTGTTTAGAGACATTAAGGATTTAAGGATTTAATTGTTATTTTGGCCATTAAGAACTATAACTATTGTTTAAGTTGATTAAATTTTTAATCTATCAATAGTTTTTCCAGGGTCTTAATAATATTAAGTCTTTAATTTTAGGGCAAACGCAATATAGGCGCAGCGGAAGCGTGGTGGGACCATAACCCACAGGTCCCAGGATCGAAATCTGGCTCTGATACCAACTGTTAGACTAAAATAGACTAACCTCCAGCCATAGTTTCGGTTACGGTTGAGCGATCCGGACTGCTGCAGAGATAACGAGTATTTTGTCTCTCACTTTACTCAGCTCTCTCTAGATGGTGTATGAGGTATGTAATGTGAGCAGTGAGAGGACTAGTGACCTTATATAACCACTGGCCATCATTGTGGTTGATTGTCTTTAGGTTTCCTAAACCCTAACCAGACTCCTAATCATAATGGTAGTCTAGTTATTAGGTTATTAGTGTTGCACCACATATCAAATACTGAATATTATCATAACTTATCCTAATGTTATAATAATAGTAACAGATAAACGTTACAGGGGTCTCATGTCGTTCACCAACTTTATGACATTTTTCTTCTGCATATATTTTTAGCCGACTGCTTTTTTCTTGCTTCTGGGGCAGTGCGCAACAAATATGTATGTGTACTTCGCAACAATGGTAGGTTTGTATGGCGCTGAACTCATCATTCTTTCAAGTTTTGCTGCGCCATTTCTTCATCATAGTCAACCACCCGCTCGAACGCCGACAGGAGCACCACCAGACTAGCCACTTCCGCCGACTGCGCCGTACCTTCGTCGACCTCCTCATGACCGAATGCCTGATTAAATCGCTTGTGCTGAGTCCGCCATCGTTGGAGGAGCCGGCACCAGTTGAGTGGTATTGATTCGGATTTTCACCTTTTGTTTTGTAAAACCAGAATCCGAAACTTCGATCCTCCGAGATGCTTAGTAAGACCCTTGCCACAAGAACTCAACTTGGTTCCCTTGGTCCGTATCAACAGCTTTGCAAAACAGTTTCATCCTCCGCGGTGTTATCATATATAGCTGTCGCCTATAG